AAACATCTGGACCCCCACAAGAGTGAGATTTCTATAATTTAGATTTACATCATTGTATAAATATAGTACGTTAGTGTGTCCATAGAAAGAGAATTGTGCAAATATGTTGGTGTTACCCGTAGCCATGTACGATGTTTGATTTAACACGGACTATTTTTGTTGCGAAATTTTCATTTATTTATAGTATTATACTAGCAACAGTATGTAATGCCCTATAAGGTAACAGTTAATTAACACTTACAGCATGTGAAATGTCCAATACTGTGATTAATACAGGTTATATTTCACAGACAAAATTAGGCGTTTTACTAATTTACATTACAGAAAAGTTCGTTTTACTTTTTTTTGCTGATTCGTATTTATTCGGTTAGAAACTCACAAGCCGCGGAAGCCCACTCGTTTATAATTCTTGGGTTGTTTTTGTCACCTTGTATTTGTGCATCTGATGCATGTCTAAATAAAGCAAAACATGTACATTACATGTACATAATTAGTCTTACTAATGTCATACCATTTACGGTATGTTTGAATAAAGGTTAAATGTTGAATATGGTTTACAGAATGTTAAAAAAAGGCACAGGGGAAATACTTCATGAGCTGATTGGCGCAGTTGATCGTACCAAGAAAAAAAAATTGATAAACGTAACAAGACATAATGTCATTGAATGAAGATTTCAAAGAAAAACATTTGATCCATTGGCTGAACTGCATGTCAAATTTGGCGGCGAGGATGGTATAGACGATAGGGGCCTAACAAGGAAATGCATGCGTTTATAAAAAAGGAGATCTGCCAGCATCAGATATTCTGTGGAAATGACAACTCGAGGCAGCGTGTCCTAAACGCTAAAGGTTTGGACTTTATATCGTTTTAGCCAATGCAATATATCTATTTGCGACGGACGCGCCCTCAGGCGCGTTCAGAGCTAAGTCATCTACACATGGGATTTCGTTGGCTACAATCGCGCAATGTGTCCTAAACCAATTAACAGCCCAAGAAATAGTACATGAATTTGATCCTTCAAAACTCCCATACTTTGTCTGGATATCTTAATGTCTTCCATATTTAGCCTTTTCAATTTCAAATTAAGTTATCCAAGTTAAAATATGAACGTATATTATTGATAAAAACGTTGTAGTCCCGTAGTATTATTGCGCAATATGCAAATTACTGCTGAAACGATTTACCGCTGTCGAAAAAGTAGGACAGCAAATTATATTACAATAAAGGTGTAACCTCTGAGTTCCAAGACATTATTAGTAGGAAATAAATATTTCTACATTATACAAAACATTATTATTAACAAATCAAAAGTTTTTCGTGACTCTAGGATAACTCGCGCATTAATAAAAGAAGAACTATTTTCGTGACTCATACCGCGGGTTTAGCTGAATATTCAGCAGTTATTAATATACGTCGTCCGTAAACTTTTACTTTAAACGTCATCTCCTTATAAACCGCTAAGACAATTTCATTCAAACTTCACAGGAATGTTCTTTGGTGGTCAACTTTGAAAATTGTTCAAAGAATTTAATTGCATACAGAACTCTGGTTGCCATGGTAACCGAAGGAAAAAAAATATTAAAAAAAAACATAGAGAAAGAGCGTAGATATTTGGCAGGAAACATCTTATAGTAAGTATTACCAAGTTTGTTTAAATAAAAGCCCTGGGGTCAAAATTGGCCCCCGCCCTGGGGAATCATTGATTTTCCTTACATGCATATAGGAAAAACTTTAAAAAATCTTCTTTTAAAAAAACAAAGAGCCAGAGCTTTGATATTTAGCTAGTGACTGTCTACAAAGTTTGTTAAAAAAAGACCTGAGGTCTAAATTGGTCCGCCCTGTGGGGTCATTGATGTTCCTAATATGTATATAGGAAAAACCCATATAGCTAGATATTTGGCATAAAACCTCTTCTAGTGAGCGTGTACCAAGTTTGTTCAAATGAAAGCCCTGGGGTCAAAATTGGCCCCGTCCAGGGGATCATTGATTTTCCTTACATGTATATAGGAAAATTTTTAAAAAAATCTTCTTTTAAAAAAAACAAAGAGCTAGAGCTAAGATATTTAGCTAGTGAGTCTCTGCCAAGTTTGTTCAAATAAAAGCCCTGGGGTCAAAACTGGCCCCACCCCAGGGAGAGGGGGGGGGGGACATCATTGATTTTCCTTATATGTATATAGGAAAAACTTAAAATAAATCTTCTTTTAAAAACCCATATAGCTACAGCTTAGATATTAGTTTAAGATTTAGATTTGATATCCTGCTTTTGTTTATAGTTTGAAACATTACTTGTTCCTTGTCATGGAGAGTTTCTATATTTAGGTGAGCGATTTCAGGCCCATCATGGCCTTCTTGCTTTGAAAACCAAATGTGTTTATGAAGATGATCCTACACTACAATACCATGTGTCCGGACAGATATGTACATGACGGTGATGAACACAATTTCTCAGGTTTACTCTTTAGTACGACCTTTATTTAATAACCGTTTAGTGACAAGCCAAGGTATCACTTTTTCGTTGATGTACTTTATTTCAGAATTCACAGCGAGTATTTTTGTTTTCCTAAATTTAGCTTAAAACAAAGGTGTCTATAAAACTGTTGGACAAATGATAGCGTACATGTTGGTACACCGAGGACCCGTTCCCAACTTTCTGGACCCATTCCTGTATGATGTATTGTCCGAAGGAGCTGACAGCGTCCGGTCACAAATACGAAATGTTGTTGAATATGACCTTCAAAATCAGCTAGAAAAGGTAACATTGATATGTTATAGTTAATTTTTAGCTTACTCACGTTTTTTTATAAATCTAGATGATGATTTTACAATAATGATGATGATCGTGAGGCTGATCTGATGATGACAACAACTTTGATGTTGGTTTTATTAATTATCATTTGGATTATGGGCATTTGTTTTCCTAAATTTAGCTTTAAATAAAGGTGTCTATAAAATTGTTGGACAAATGATAATTATTATTTGGATAATGTAGATGATGCTTAAATGCTTAAATGATATTTTTGATGGTGAGTCATGGTGATAATAATAATGATGATAACAATGTTGATTATCTAGAATTGTGATGTTGCTACTAATAATGATGTTGATGATCCTTATGTTTCTGCTCAACATGATGATGCTGATAATGTTCGTCTGGTTATTTTAAATGATTATGTTTTAAATTTACTTTCATATTTTTATAGTTATGTGATCATTTTTTGCTTTTAAATTGAGTAGACAACGATTTTACGTAAGGTAGATTGTAAGGTCATTATTACGGTCTATTATATCACAACCTTTTACATATTTTATCTATGACATATAATCCACACATGTCACTTGCATTTTTGTTTTACTAATAAGTTTTTTATGTGTCCAGATCGCTGATTCTGTAGATGCATCAACCTTTTTCGATGCCGTGGAACCACTTGAGTGTCTCATTCGTGTTTCCGGAAATGCAGCTTTAGTTGGAAGCCCAGAGCGAAAAGATGACTTGGTGAAAGCATTATGTCAATTTCTAGTAGTAGACAATATGAAACCTGCTTATTCACATGTATTTAACATGCTGCCTTACATGCAAGGTGTAATGTATGGCAATATCTTACATGCAGCCTGATATGTAGGGACTTATTTATGGATTTATTTAACATGCATTCTTAAGATATACAACGTCATTAACGTGCATACCTGACACATGCAGAGCGTTATGTGAGGCAATACTTTATACGTAGATCGTTATGTATGGCAATATTTTATACGTAGATCGTTATGTACAGCAATATTTTATGCGTAGATCGTTATGTACGGCAATATTTTATTCGTAGATCGTTATGTACGGCAATATTTTATACGTAGATCGTTATGTATGGCAATATTTTATACATAGATCGTTATGTATGGCAATATTTTATACGTAGATCGTTATGTATGGCAATATTTTATACGTAGATCGTTATGTACGGCAATATTTTATACGCAGAGCGTTATGTACGGCAATATTTAATACGTAGATTGTTATGTACAGCAATATTTATGCGTAGATCGTTATGTACGGCAATATTTTATACGTAGAGCGTTATGTACGCCAATATTTTATACGTAGATCGTTATGTATGGCAATATTTTATACATAGATCGTTATGTATGGCAATATTTTATACGTAGATCGTTATGTGTGGATATATTTTATACGTAGATCGTTATTTACGGCAATATTGTATACGTAGATCGTTATGTATGGCAATATTCTACACATGCAGGTTTCTAGTTAACATCTTATTAATACAGTTATGTATGACAATATTTAAAATACCCGCCCAACACATGTAGGTATCTAGTTAACATCTTATTTATACAGGTTGTTATCTATGGCAATATTTAACATACCCGCCCTACATGCAGGTCTTTATGTAAAACAATATTTTACGTGCACGCCATACACATGTATAATATCGTTCATTATATTTTTTGACTTTAATAGAAATCACTTGCACAAATACCATGTTTTGTTGAGTTTCGAGTTACAGCCAAACATTCCCTGGCAAGGAATTTTGAAACATTTTGGAAAATATGATAAACATGGTGAGACAGTGAGTCATGTGCAAGACCTAAACCCCTAGCTCCAAGGCCAAGTTCACACTTAGTCTAATCTGTCAAATGTCAGCAGTTATATCAGTTATATAAAGCTTGTCCGGCTGATAAATCTGTCATGCATTAAGGGAATTTAAAGTCAGAAACCAAGTGTTGGGCATACTTAGACCTTGTTATAAATGTGATCGTCAATGTTATCTTTGACGGAAAATAATTGTCGCCTATGTGTAAAAACCCTATTGAACTTTTATTTTGTCCATTTTTATGCTCCAGCAGAGACTAAACTGAAAAATTTGTGCTCTAAAATTAGGATTTTGTGAATATTTAAAAACTGTTTACCGTGTCTTTCACACACATTTGAAATAATAATTTTTCCTCACGATGTTTGATAACTTTTATTTTCAAGATTTGCAGAGGGTCTGAAAATATTAGGTGTTCTGACTGCATTGCAACAACATAGTGAGAACATGAAGGAATTGTCCGTATACTCAGAGAAACCATTGACGTCGGATGCCATTGATCGTCTATACACGCCGTCTTCTTCATCTCCAGATGGTAACAATTGTATTTGTTCTGTATTACTTTAGTGGTTGATTTCATTAATAAATTAATCTGATTTTTCAAAATTACATTGAAATGATTTTATTTACGAAAGTATGTTATAAACGAGTGCAATTGACAGCATGGTATCACAGTTTATTTCTTACTGCGACAATTTGGCATCGTTTGTCTAAATAGGTTAATACCATGTTTTCGAACCGATACTTATCTTTTTGAAATTTGCTTACATAGTATATAAGTTGTATATTATTAAGGCATCATTACCAAAATATAACTGGTCAAAGTGTGCATTTAAGTTGGCGATAGACTGTTTGTTATGATATTATTGTTATTCTCTCATCATTATTATCATCATTATTATCATAGGAAGTAACCGAAAAAGAAAAGAAGAGATAACTATGGCATGGTGGCGGGATTTTATTGTAAACCTGGAAGGTATGTCAAACATTAAGTTGTTTAAATGTACTTAAATATGATTAAAACTGCTAGATGGAGACTGCTTGATCTATATGGTTACAGGTATGTAACTGTCAATGGTTGAAAACCATTGACATTGTCGACATGCTTTCACTATTTTTAGATTCTTTCATGTGAGGAAGCTATCCAGTTAGCTTACTAAGTGTGGGTGGTTGTGTCTGAAATAATGCACGGAAGGGCACCTGAGGTATTCTTGCACAAGTAAAGCTGGAAAGCCGCTGTATGACCTATGCTGTGTTGGTGCGACGTAAACCCCAACCCCACCTCTTCAATGGTTAAATCTTACTTGTTATGTTCTGAACGCAACATGTCATTAGGTTTGATGTAAATCAGATATTAGACTTTTAAATTAAGATATTTCACTGACCATATTCTAGTTTTCAAAGAAAATCGGTGACATTTTTGAGTGGATATGCTGGGATACTTGCAGAGCCATTGATTTGTTTAAAATCAGTGTAGATATAATCCGACAGTCATTTCCTTTATTATTTTTTATTCATGGCAGATGGACAGATTCTTGTATTGTATTCTTGTATTTATTTTTTTTTTATTACAGAGGAGGGCAACCTAAAAAGTTTGTTGGCATTTCTGACTGGGTTGGATGAAATTCCACCGCTAGGGTTTGAATGTAAAGGCTACATAACATTCAGACATAGAGAAGACATGGAGGTCAATGATGCTACAATTGAGTTTCCACTAATCAACACCTGCAGTTTAGAACTCCGACTACCGGTGTTAGAGTCATACGAATTGTTTGTTCAACGCTTCAAAGCTGCCATGACCATTAACACTTTCACAGCAATTTGACTGTTGTAAATATGGCTGTGGGCTTAAGAGAGAAGAAAAAAAAAGCATCATATTCTGGTTAAAATTTGTATTTGTATGATTTTATAACCTTTGACATAGTTATATTTTAGTTTCCTTTTTATACACACTCACCAAAAAGTAATTTGTTTAAGTAAAACAGACGTTTTAGAGTATCTGTATTTTTAACTTTATAATTGCATTAAACATTATAACATGTATAAGTTAATTTTTTTATTTTGACCTCATTTAGTACTCACTTTGGGTGTATGAAAAGTAAAAAGATGATCCGTAATATCTGGGATGTACTATATGTTCCAGGTAATATACATGTTTTCTTTTATATTCGGAAACACTATTTTTGCATGTTCGGTCTTTTGCATACAAAATAAACAAATATTTAAAAAAAATAGAACTGTTACGAACTATGAACAAAAGGGACATGAAAAGACATCCTTTACAATAATAAAAAATAACCGTTTTCAGGTTTCAGGAAATTTGGTACTGATTGGTACAGATGACAAACTACATGTCTATCTTGCGTTTATTCTCTTTAAAGGTACCTAGTATTTTGCCGAACAATAATTATCAACTGCTTACAGATACTTTAAATTGAAAAGTTCATTTTTAAATACATAAAGCATAACAATCCTAAGCTTACAAGTTTATCAGTAGTCGTTGTGGAATATGGCAGGTTATGCTATGTCACATATGTATAAGGCTAGGTATTGATGATTGTTCGCAAGCGTCTATATAATAAAACGGCTTCACCTGCATTGAATGGTGGAATTATTTCATTTCCTCTCATTATGTTAATACATGTATCATAAACATCTGCATCACAACATATTAATGAACGAGGTTCAAAATGGTCACGACATGCATCAATTTCTCTTTGAGATACTGGATATAAAAAATCTCTAGCATTCCACAAACCAGGGTGTTCGAACATTACTCTAGGTTTGCCAGACGGGGCATCGGTGTTCGATGAGGGTCTGATATAATGGTTGTCCCACATTGAAACAGCCAGATCCAATTCTGCCTGAAAAAGATAAATAACCCATAATAAATAAAATTTATAAAACCAAGATAATTAATGAATAATTCTGCACGCGTGATTCTCGAACCAAAAATGATACAATTCGACTTGATTTATTCTAGCGCAACGTCAATAATCAAATTATATAATTGGTAGGAAGTAAGCGTTCATGTTCATTCTGCCATCTAATGAACTTATTGTTTACCTCACCTCAAACGTTGCAGCATTTTTTATGAAAATAATTGATATTGCAAATAACTATGTTGTGCTGAAAGAATCAATTCACAAATTCCTGAAATAAAGCTTGCTATTTGATTTTTTTCTGGCGCAATTTGAATTCCTGAAGTGTTTTACATGTAAATTCAGGATTTATACATGAATTTAGACTTTGTTTGTGAACTCATCACACTTACATATATACTGAAAACCCCTAGCTGCATGTGTAGGCAACATCTTCTGTGTGATGCTCAGGTTAAATGCTCATAACATTCACAAAATGTTTTATAAATAAATACTTTTTACAACAGAATATTGATTTTATAAAATTTTGGAAAACACTACAGTATATATAAATGATAATCTCTGATCTTTGTAGGAATGTTAGATGTAATGTTTAAAACGATGATGGACTTTAAATCAGCATGCCTCCAGATCCAAACTAATTGTCATGAAAATGTTTTCAAAAATAAAATATTGTCAAACAAAGAAAGTAACTGATACATTGCAAACGGCACGTTCAATCCAAGTTAATTACAACATAGAGGTCAAAATATCAAAAAGAGCCATTACTGTATTTCTCTCGTGTTAGGAATAGATGATAATAATGGTTGTGATGATGCTTATGCTGCTGGTAGTGATGATGATAATGTTTATAGTGATGATGATTGACGTAGTAATAGTGATGATTGTTATGGTAATAATAATGGTAATGATTATAATGGCAGTAATATTTGTCTAGCACTGCATGATTCACATGCCTTTCATTAATTACCTGAATTAACGCCGTGAAAACAAAACAACACACGTTTTTTATTTAACTGACTTCCAGTAAAAGCTTGTGTTTCCTGTAGATTCTTGAATAAATCAATCCAGTATTGCATATGTTCTCTTCGCAAATATCCCCACCAGGACTCTATTCTTTGATTCTGTGTACTTGCGCCGGTGTAACATTAAATTTTGACCCTGTTGAGAAATGACCCTGAGGGTCATTTTTCAACGTTGAGAATCGACCCTGGGTCATTTCTCAACGGTCACGGGTCAATTCTCAACGTTGAATTTTGACCCACCCGTTAAATTTTGATCAGTAATGTGAAGGTGTTGAAAAATGACCCCGGGTCGTAATTCAACGTTGAAAAGTGACCCCAATTTTTTGATATTTGGAATGTAAGTTTTAAGGTTAAAGTGCATGGAGGTATGAAACGTCAAAAACGCATTAATGGGTAAACTTAAAGCCTGTTGGTGCGTCCGTCCGTTGTTTCCACAGATTGCATTAACTTTAAATCTAATTTATCGTTCTTTATGTAGGTAAAACAAATGAAAAAAAAAATACAGTTCAGCAACATTTGGGGAATATATATTAAAATCGTGCAATAAAATCGAAGTATTTAAGTTATGAGACGTCGCATGAAACAGGTCATTAATGAACGAGCGTAAATGAGTCATTTTTATTTCGCTGACATTAAATGATATCTCTATACAGACGGCAAATGTCATAATTATGTGTCTGCCCCTTACTCTTATCCCATTTACGCAGCATCCTAATTTGGGGCTTGATTTTTGTGTGTTTTGTTTTGTAGTTTAAAATTAATCTTATTTTTAATAAATCGGTGAAAATTTAAGTGAAATATGTTATTTAAGGTTTGGAAAATTGAAGAAAGTATTTGGCACCCACCTTGTTTTAAGATTACCTTTACATAATGGTGTACCCCGTCTGTCAAATGGTGCCCAGCTTATCAACTGCAGCTATTCAATGATATTTAAGCTACTTTACTCCGAGGACATCAATTCCAACCCCTATTCCTTGATATATGAATCGAGAGTCTTACTCCCCTATAAACAAACATGAATTGTCCTTCGTACGGTGTACTGTTAGGGCCATCGCGTTTTCTCTGAGGACGGAAAACGCGAAGCATGACAGTATGATGGTGACAGTACGACAATACGATGGTGACAGTACGACAGTACGATGGCGATGCACGACAGTACGATATGGTGATAGTCCATCGTACTGTCGTAGTGTCACCATCGTACTGTCACCATCGTACTGTCGTAGTGTCACCATCGTACTGTCGTAGTGTCACCATCGTACTGTCGTAGTGTCACCATCGTACTGTCGCCTTCCGTTAGCGCATGAACGGCAGCCAAGATTCCCACCACTGCCTGCAAGCTCAGTCTGTCGAAGAAAACATTCAATGTGTAGTTTTTTCGTGGAAAATGCATAGGCTTGGAACCATAAAAGAATGTTTACTTGTAAGTAACTGTATCAGTGTGAACAGGCTGAGCAAGCATTTTTAGTATTTACAGTAATTAGCATTTTTTCTGCATTGGCGGAGGCAGTGGGTTCGAATCCCATGCTAGGAGGTGTTATTTTGAAGCCTCTTCAAAATATTTTTGACATGATAACCATAATTACATAGTAAATACTTCAATCTGTCATTGTCGTAGTAACGTGTTGAGTAACTCACTTTTTGTTGCCATTAAAATCTATAATTTCTAATCTTTTAGCCCGAATGAGCTAAAATTCCAACTTGTGCCCAGTCAGGTTAATTTGATGTGTATGAAATTAATACATAGTACTAACCACGCAAGGACGCCACTGTTAGCTAACGTTAAACATTTGGCTTATTCAAACTCGAATTGAATTTGCCTAAATATGAACTTGTCTCACTCGTGAATTAATGTATGTTGAGTAATGTAGCCGTCTTACATTGTCACAATAGGGACTACGCTGGGATACCAGGCCGACCACAATTGCTATCTAAAACAACCAACAACTCAGAACAGAAAAATATATACAAATTTATTTACAGAAATGAATATTTATAAATGAAAAATGATTGTATATGATAAACTACTATGATAAGTCACTGCACAAACAAACACTATCAACGTATCTCAGTCTATTTCTCCCGTAAAATTTCTGTCATGATGTATCAATAAAGTGGTGGCGTTGTTGAACAAAATTCGTCACAATGGCGGGCGTCTTGTATAAAATCTTATCAAGCGTAACTGTACTTCCTACAGTGTTGGCACAGTTGATAGGATCCTATCAAGGGCATGCGTCACCCTTTAGCCATGGACATACGTGTGGAGGGCCCGTGTCATCTTCGGGGTGTCCTCAAATAAGAAGCTACAAAGTATAAAACATGATAAGTTCCATGATAATCAAACATAAGGGTATAATAAAAGTCCCTTGGAAAAGAATCGACCTTTGTCGGTTTCCAATAAAAATAACGTGCTTCTTTGAATAAACAAAATGTCCACTATAGTACACCATACATTCCGTGGAACAAAAATTCAATCACATCCGCATAATACTGCGTTGCAAATATATTCAAATATACGCCACATAATAACCACCAATAAATAAACGTCTTCCAAAATCATGCCACTGAAGATCCTTCTCTAGAGATACGTTAGTTTTGATACGTTGCATTTACTTATTACAAAAAACTGATGATAAATGAAATGAAGTAAGATGATAACGTAAATTAAATTGATTGAAACAAATCATTACGATACTGCAGCATTTTACATAAAGTTACACAAATACGGTAGAAACCATAAATAAATTATTTATGAATATATATATCTATAAAATATTCATAGCTCCTATACAATTACAATATAATTAAAACTTCAATTAACATACATCATTTAACATGTCTCGGTATAAATTTGCAATAGCGAAACACTAGAATAAAAAGAGCTTTTAAAATTTAATCTGCAAAAATTTAGAAAATTTAGAAAA